GAGAGAGAGAGAGAGACAAACGCTAACTTTTTGTGCTATTTATATGATCGTGGCTGTAGTAGACAGCCTTCGCCTTCAGCCTTCGCACACTCTCCTTGTGCGCTTCGACACTACGTGAACTGACGTTCACAGTGATTAAGTAGCCTATATAATTGAACTTATCTTAAATATTTTTTCTAAAACACTCTCCTAATACAAGACGATATTGCTACAAAAAAAACCCCATCTTGAGCCATGGCCCATTTCTTCGGAACTTGACGTCAAAGTTGAAACTCCCAAGATGTGCATAATTTCTTGGATCCAAATCCGTCCCTAAAAAATAAATCTTAAACGGAAGTAATTTTTTTTCTTTATTTCGGTTTAAAGCAATTTCTTTTGTTATAACGATAAAACAATTTTTCTTTTTTTTTTTATCTATTCATACATGTGGTCAAATTAAAAACAAGTCATGGCAAACTATAGATAATAGAGCCTTATGTCCCAAAAAAACGAGTATAAAACAATCAATTTTGTTATGTTTGTGGATTTTCATATTGTATCCAAAGACAATTTAAATAAATATAAAAATGTGTTATTCATAAAAATAAATCATGTCCTATACATAATATATATATATATTTAATGCGAGAAGCATTCCAAAGGTTGCATATGCACTTTAAAATAGAAAATAGGAGAGAACGCATGTCGAGTCCATTTTTGGCACGCTGATAGACACTCATTTAATCTAACGCCCACAAACCGCCCAAAACTGTGGCGCCCAGAGTTATGATTCTAGATTTAACAGGAGGATATTGGTTGGACCTAAAAAAATATTGCCACGTCTACTCTAATGTTACAAATGTTGTAATAGCCGCTAGGTGGCGCAATGCCATCTGGAAAAAAAAAGTTTGAAAAAATACGGACTTCACAAAATAAATGTCTGAAGGAAGTGCACAAGCTAAGTGAAGAATGAAGATATGCTTAAAGCAAATCTGCTTTTTTTGACTAACACACCTAGCCTATAGCGTCACCTTTCTTCTATAGCGCCACCTAGCCCATAGCGCCCTTAGCGACTTGGTGGCGTATTAGTGAAAACAGCTTATTTACTGCATGTGATGTGCAATATCGATAGAATTGCAAATTGGTGTTACTTAAGTCGTATAGAAAGTTACAATTTTATTTGTAAAATAAGTGAGTATAAGGAATGTTTGGAAATATGTTCATAAACATAAACAAGGAAGAACGCTATAGTCGAGTACCTGGACTATCAGATACCCGTTACTCAGCTAAAGGGACCAAAGGGAAATGGAGACATGCAAGCAGCAAAGCGAGATTGAAATGCGCCACCTACCGGCGGTAGACAGATTTAAGCGTTATGGGCGTTAGAGTGGGCGTGGCAAATTTTTTTCGGATCAATCAATAGGTATTGACGAGACCAATACATTTCAGTTAACATTTTTATTCTAGCATCAAAACTGTAGGAGCCACAGTTTTGGGCGGTTTGTGGGCGTAAGAGTGGGCGTGGCACATTGCTGAAACAAACTTGCGCTGCGTAAGAAGCTCAGGAATCTGCTTGCCTAATACCAGTATTGTAGCTTTTATAGTTTCCGAGATCTCAGCGTTCATCCGGACATGGCTAGATCGACTCGGTTAGTGATCCTGATCAAGAATATATATACTTTATGGGGTCGGAAACGCTTCCTTCTGCCTGTTACATACTTTCCGACGAATCTAGTATACCCTTTTACTTTACGAGTAACGGGTATAACTAGGCGCTAGAAGCCAGAAAAAATTCCCTTTCCAGCGATTACATTTAGAGAACAGTATTAAATAGGACGTACATGTGACTAGATGGTGGCTACTGGCCACCCAGACAAGTCTGCAGCAGACTCTTTGTGGTGCCGCACGGGCTTGGGGGTTGCCGCCGCCCCTGCTCCTCTGTGCCTAAGAAGGAATCCTAGCTGGATGATGTGTGGCTTATGAACGCGGGTTTCCAGCGTGACTTTTAGATGCAACTGGCAACGCGAATTGGAGAGACCGAAAATAGGTCTGAGATAACTTCTAAGAAATATGAGCCAAAGTATCGCCATATGCGTGCACTGAGAGCTGGATAGGGACAGAAGAGGTTTTGTATCGTCTCCTCTTCTTCCTTATCTCTACAGCTTCTACAGAAATCGGTATGGGGTATCGAAAGTCGGGCTGAGGTGCGAGCGAAGTGCTACCTGACTATTTGAGTAGATACAGACAGATTGAGAAGTATCTGAGAGTCTTCGATGGAACACTGCTTCCTTGATGCCAAAAATTTCCGCCTGGTAGACGCTGAGGTGATTAAAGATCAGAGAAACAGATGTTTAAACCAAGGTGCTTGGAGTAGACTCTACCTCCCACATTGAGTTTAGATTTATCGGTATAAATGTGAGAAGTTAGGGGGTCCCGGTGGTCAGTGGAGGAAATAAAGGTGCGGTTGGAGGTTGAAGGATATTGATCAATGGTTTCGATGGAAAGTATATCGAGCTAGATCTATACTGCCATTCGGTGCACCTGTCCCAGCTGATTTATAAATCTGTCTTATACTAACATTCTTTTCGACAGTTAACCTTCAGCGTCCCCTTCAAGGTCCTGCATCGCAGTAGCCGGTAAATGAGGGGCTCTAGGTGTTGGTCAGTATTCAAGTCAGTGATGGCTTCTGGCAGGGTATTGTTGAAAGCTCCCTAAACTTTTTTTCGTGGAGCGAAACTGTGATCGTGACGACCCTGTGTTGGGCTGTATTAGTAGATCTGCGGATGGTGTGATGTGGTTTCGGATTAGTCTTTTAATCTTTTTCAACATAAACGATGAGTCTGATCGGTCTGAAGTCTTTGTGGGTGCAGTGGGAGGGTTTACACACTTTAGGGATGAACATAGTCTTGCTGCCATCCATAATAATAATAATACTGGACTCAAAGAGAATTTTAAAAATTTGGCGGAGCCAGTTAAACGATTTCATCTGGACCCGTTTATTTAAAGGGCTTGAAGCTGTTTATTGCCCATTTAAGGTGATAACCGAGGATTCATACTTTGTGAATTTTTGTTGTGTAATTTCTTCAAAACAAGAGAAACCGATTATAAAACAAGGAACTTTGAATGTTATATAACTATAATTGAGAACTGAACTTCTTGTAATGGTTAAAAAAAGCAGAAACCAGATAATAACACCTGTATATTAATTTGAGTTCCTCAATAATTATTCTTATTTGGATATAGCTGCTAACCAAGTTGCACATCATGGACTACTCTTTATTGGTCGGTGTGCACGACTGTGTGCGTGCCGAAGAAGAAGCGCTACAAGGAGATACTGTTCCAGCTGCCGGTCGCAGTGAGAACAGTGAAAGCGAAGAATGCGATAGCGGCGAACGGTAAATAAGAAGTATTTAATTTTAACTTTGTGATTTTTCAGTATTTTCCTATCGCCTAAGCTGGACGTATAACACGCCTCCCGATTCTCCAAGAGGTGCACAGTATAAAGAAGTCGTTTACGAAGTTGATATATATGACATTCCAAGTATTGAAGGTAAATTTAGATTTCGGTTTGTATTTTCTATACTGTCCCCAAACAGTAAAAAATAAAGAAGTCGTGTACGAAGTTGATATATATGACATTCCAAGTATTGAAGGTAAATTTAGATTTCGGTTTGTATTTTCTATACTGTTCCCAAACAGTAGAAAATTGTACAGTTTTGACTTTGTTATAGCACAATTTGTGCTAGGAATACGATAAATATGAAATATTTACAATATACAACAAAAAATAGGCAAATATTTTGAAAAACACAAAATGTGTACCAACTTCATTAAACAACTACACATTTTTTGTCATGCATATCAGGGTATGAATAAAAAATACGATTTGCAAATTTTCATGTCAAAAGTTCTTACACTGCGCCCATTTTAACAGAGCTCGCAAACGGTATCAAAACGGACAGGCGAATATGACTATTTCGACTCGACTAGTGATGCCGATAAATATTTATTTATACTTTCATTGTTTTGTTATTATTTATAACGTCTTCTGACCAAAATTATAATACCGCTGCATGAATAACACCAGTTTACAAAATAAAATCGTCATTATGCTACACGAAGGGAACCTTGGCTTTCCAGTAAAGTTGAGATCCCTCATTTAAAAAAGAACACTTAAAATATGTTGTATGGTGTCAATTTTTTTTAATGTAAAACTTTTTTTTTGCTTTTTAGTATGTTTTTCTTTATTTTTTGTTACCTCGAGGTCGATTTCGGTCAATAAAGACTCACTTTACTGGTAATAGATAATAATAATTTTTATAATCTAATAATAATTGTTTATACCCATCATATAGTTGGAGTCGCTAATATTGATAAAAAAGTTGATAAAAAGAAAGCTAGGTACAATTCAAGAGACAGGCATAAATTCCGACTTCATGTAGCATTTGTAAGAATCTATTTTGTACACAGGTGTTCTTTGATCCCTTTAACTCAAATACTTTTCTTCTTTGGTCCTAATGTTTTTCGAATATGAATATATGAATATGAAAATTGGCACGACAAAACACCACAATTCTATATATTATACCACAAAGCATATGATAATAAGCTGTTTTCTTAAAAGCTTAAGTGTCCAAATGTCTAGTCCGATATATGTCTACTTAGAAAATACCCGTTAGTTATAAATGGACTACCACATAATTTAAAACAAGTTGAGATAATTACCTTATATTTATTTCTTCTCTTCGAAACTGTTTCAATTATGTTTTAATTGTATTGCAGACAAACGTGAAATATACTTTATTGCAATTATTGACGTTCTTACTCAATATGGCGTAAAAAAGCAGGTATTTAAACATACAAATAAAACAATATCTCAACTTAACTGACAATATTTTATATTTCAGGCAGCAAAAGCAGCCAAAACCGTTAAATATGGCAGTAATGTAGATGGTATATCGACATGTGACCCGGAACAATATGCCAAACGATTCTTGGAATTTATGGACAAAGCTATAGAATAAAGTATTATAATCATATTGTATTTGCCACATTCAAAATGTCAAAAATGTATTTATATAAGACATATAAAATATAAGATATTATTTCGAAGCTTCTGGGGATCCTCTTATTCCGTGATGTGTGCTTTATTTTATTTACTTTAAATATGCGTATAATGACACTTTGTCGTTGTAGACCATCAGGCGATTATTGCTTTACTAAAATAAAACGATAAGTCTAATACTTTAAATTAGTTTTGTACACATACAACAAATCGTTTGACTTGACTTCTTGGTGCGTTCTCCAGTTGAGTGTCAGAATTATTCATGTTTTCAAACCGTTCCCGTATTCTGAAATTTAAGGACAAAATCATTCAACCTTTTTATAAATGCCGGTTGGGACTTACTTTTTTGCACTTTCAATAGACTCATTTGAAATTAGCTTTGAGGACTGTGTGTCTACACGTCCTTCGTTGAGTTCGCGTTCTATTTCGTTAATTTGCCACTTTTCAAACTTCGCTCGCAATTGTTTAGCACGAGCTGCGTTCTGAGCCTGTAAAACAAAAGTTAATGTTATTTTTCAATAGGAATTTATGTTCTGCAAATATAAACCTTTTTTTAATAGAATCTGTCGACATAATGTCGCACAAATTTAAGTTTTCAAATCTTATCTTCCGTTAGCAAATGGCTTCCCAGAAAGATAAATTTAAAACCAATAGAGACTGCTACAGTCGAGTGCCTAGCCTACTATATATCCCTTACACACGATGCCAATTTATCTTATTAACTAACGGTCCAACGAAACACATTTTGTTTATAACTTATTGAATGGTCTGATTTAAAAATTGTTTTTGGTATTTGATTTGTATTAATAATAAAAACAAAATGACATTTAAGTTTCACAAACTTGCGCTGCACAAGAAGCCCATGATCCGAATGCTTAACCCCAACATTCTAGCTCTTATAGTTTCCGAGGTCTCAGCGTTCATACGGACAGAGGTTCAAGAATATATATACTTAATGGGGTCGGAGCCGCTGCCTGTTATATACTTTTCGACGAGTTTAGTATACCCTTTTACTCTACAATAATGGGTATAAAAATATGGGAGTCACTCACTACCATACCTGTTATATACTTTCGACGAATTCAGTATAGTAATGGGTATGCAAATTTGGGAGTCACTCATTACCATAACTTTAATTGCTTATACTTATTAATAATAGGTGGATGGGTAATTAAGTATTGATAAAAAATACAGCATCGTTAAACATGCACCCGCACCCACAAAAAGCCATGACGTTAAAATCTGTCTGGCGTCTACATGTTTAACGATGCTGTATTGTTTATCAATACTTATTAATAATAGGTGGATGGGTAATTAAGTATTGATAAACAATACGCCAGATAGATTTTAACGTCATGGCTTTTTGTGGGTGCGGCGCAGGAATCACCAAATTATAAATGTTGTACTTATACAATTTGAGTCAAATTTGTATTTGTAAGGACAGCAATGGTATTAAAACATCGGCATGCCGCTGCAACCTTCCGTTCTCGTTTTATGTTAAAATTTGCTAAAGTCTTACCTCGTAAAGCCCTTGATCATTGTTGCAGAAGTTAGGGGGAGCATTTGCAAACCTCTTTTCGTCGTCATCAGTGTTCTGCTCGCTGTCACTATCGTTATCCTCTTCAGTATCTGATCTATTAAAATGGTTACCGATTTCTGGTGGTGGAGTAAAGCATTTTAATGGTTTCGGGCTTCGTTCCTTGTTTTTATCTTTCATTTGTTGCACTTCCATTTCGCGAAACTTGCTTAATATTGTTGACGTTGTTTTGGTTTTTTGTAAAACGTTATCATTGAATAAGGGCGTTTGAATCGAACCCTCCGTGTCCAAATCAGGGGAGGGCATCTTTACAACACCGTCACGTGGCGGAGTCATGCGAAATTTTTTTTTTTTATTTTCGAGAGGTGCATATTTTTCGAAGAATTTAAACCTTTCTGTTAACTCTTCAGTGGCGACTTTAACTTCTTCTGGCTTCGAGTCGCATTTGATAACGTCAACACCGGTGCTCTGTTTTAAAAAAAATGTAACTATAAAATGTTTTTAAATTTAATATGGACTAACCTCTTGCCACAATTGATTACAGCTCACAACCTTTTTATCGGGACGGCTGTTTTGGGTAGGACTGTTACTTAAGTTGGAACTTATATTGGCATCTAGCTCCATGAAGATACTTCGTGATGCTTTGCCTATTCCTGCATTTGTAATAAAGCAAATATATATTTAACATTAAATATGTGTTTGTATTAAATATACCCATACCAGATTCAAAAACATCCGCATCTGCTTGCATACCAAAAATTGCCTCTTTTGACTGAACTTTATTATCGTTAAAAACCTCACCTTTCTCAAATCGATCTTTGATAAGATGAGTGGCCTTTATGACATTAATATCGGGGGTCTTACCCACCGATGTAACGCTTTGTTCTGATTCAGCCACAGCTAGTTGATACATTTCTTTAATTTTTGCTTGTTTACCAAGAAATAGTCGAGAACGTATGCTCTGTATTTCCTGTTTCCTTTCTTCGCGACGTTCTTCTTTTGTCATCACTTCACCTTGCTCGAATTTCGATCTTATATCATTCATAGCTTCTCCCAAGCCCACAGGCCTTTCCCTCTTGATATCCTTACTGGAGCACAAAAAATCCATATCGCTTTCATCGTCGGTATTTATCTTATCAATGTCGCTGTTGTCAATGTCATCTAATTCAACAAGTTCTAAATTAGTTATTCCGAGCTTATGGAGTTTGGTTAGCGTAGACCGTATTGATTTGCTATGAGTAAGAGCAGTATCTTGACGTTCAAGTGAGTTATTGACTTGTTCTCTGCAACCATTTTCAAAAACCTTGAATTTTGAGCGCACATTTAATTGTTGAAGCTCGTCAAGTCCAAGACTTGGCTTATCGGAAGCTGCAATATTAAATACATGCATTTAAACAATTTTCAGTTGTCCATTATAACGAACGGTTAAAAAGCGTTTTCATAAATATTTAAAAAAAAAATTATGTGAAAGAAAGATTGAGGTAGTGTTTGAAATCATATAGAGAGGGCGTTTGGCCGCTCACATCTATCTTATTCAATGTTTTAGTTTACCTCTTGCGACATCCGGTGGTAATTCTATTGGTTGATTCTCTCGTATAATAAGCTCTGGCTTTAGTGGTGTAAATTCTTCATAAACTATCTTCGGTGCAAAGATTAATTTGAAGTGCACAGAACAGTATAAACTTCCATCATGAACGTTATAGCTATCAGATCTGTGGGATATTAAAACAGAAGAGTATAACCATAAAATGTCATTAAAGTCTTGAAGTGGTTGTGAAAAATTTAATGTGGTTTGCAGTTTAAAAATCCATGGTATTAATGAAACACAGATCAAGCTTCTACGATTTCCATTTCACTCGCAGATACCACGTACTCCTTCTCGGAAGAAGAGAATTTGGCCGAATCCGACGATTTACACAAGTACGAAATTAAGTACTACGATTTGCAGGTTATAGAGGATAAAGATTGTATCGCAATATTTAATACTTCTAAAGAATTATTACTCTTCTGCTGCATTGCCTGGTTCCGTTACTTGTAGCTGTCTAGCAGGTGAAAGTGCTGGAGGATATTCACTGCTTCCCAAAAACTGCCCAGAACTATGGCGCCCTTATTTACAAAACTTAAAATATTTCATTTTAATCCGGAAGAACGCTATAGTCAAGTGTCTCGACTGTCAGATACCCGTTTCTCAGCTAAGGGACCAAGGGGAGATGGTGATATGCAAGCAGCAAGCGAGATTGTAATGCGCCAGCTACCTGCGATCTCAAATTATGGTTATTTGGGCGGCAGGCCGGTTTAAGCGTTATGGGCGTTAGAGTGGGCGTGGCGTGGGTCAAACGATAGGTATTGACGAGACAAATACATTCCAGTTTAAATTTAATTTTAGCATGAAAACTATTGGAGCCGAAGTTTAGCCGTTTGTGGGCGTTAAATTGGGCATGCAAACTTTTTTTATGTCAATTGATTGGTATTGACGAGACTAATATATTTCAGTTAACATTTTTTCTAGCATGAACAATTTGGGCGCCTCAGGTTTGGGAGGTTTGTGGACATGACATATTCGCGTAACAAATATGCGCTGCGTACAAGGCTACGGAATCTAAATTCTAAATCCTTATTCTATATCTTTGATAGTTTCCGAGATATCCGCGTTCATATCTACGATTTGTTTAAGTATGTGAGTATTGCAGCTTTTATAGTTTCTGAGATCACAGCGTTCATACAGAGAGAGGGACAAACGGACAGATCGACTCGGCGCTAGTGTCCTGATCAGGAATATGTACATATACTTTATACTTTTCGACGAATCTAGTATACCCTTGTACTCTCCCTTTTACTCTTTATAGAGGATTATTTACAACGTGGATACATGGAAGCGCTAGATAAGCATCAACACAACGTCTCAAAAAGGAATTGCTTTTATCTAGCTTATCAAATGGTACTCAAACCGGAACTTGCAACAACCGATTGTCATGTTGTCTTAGATCAGCGGTCGGCAGCGGTCTATTAAGTGAGCATAGGGAATTGTTCTGCCCATCCGCTGCTCGCTCACGTATAACGTAGATGTTCGTATGACTTCGGCATGGGTCTTCGGGTCTTTTTTTTCTCAGCTTCGGCGCGCTTTTTTGCTGCTGCGGCAGAGATTCTCAGTGCAAAACAATGAAACGTCAGGCTTCAGCGCGCTGCGCGCCAACTTCGTGTTTTTTACACTCACACTAATGCAAGGTAAACTTGTGATGGTCTGTGTATGCCGACCGCTGTCTTAGATCAACGATGGCCAGCAGAAGCAGCGCTCTCGGTCCGTGGGCTTATAGAATAGAAATAGAACGCAGAATAAACCACTCACACTAACAGTTTGATCTGGTTCTGTAGGCCATAACTATTTTATACTATGTTTATGCTAAGGGTTTCATGATTTCTTAAAAGCGTGAAATAAAATTGGTTCCTGTTACGGCCGAATTCATGCATTTTTTCAATCTTAGCTGACAGAGAAGCCGGACCGGATAAAATTCAAGAAATCATGAAACCCTAAGCATAAACATAGTAATAAACGCAGTATTAGATAGATCCAGTACGGCTTTTTCCGGCAATTCTCTTAAAAATCGTCCACACATCGACCTGCCGATAAAGCGAGGTATCATCGGCATTTGTTTGCGATACCGAAAGTATCGTTTTTATTATTAAAAACTTTTAGGACTCACTTTATCAAAGATCTTTTTATACCCTTGCATAGGGTATAAAGATTCCAGTCAGATGTTTGCAATGCAGTGACGTCAGCAGAGAAGTCGGCGTAGCGTTGAAGACACGAAAACGGTCGGACAGGAAAGGGAGGCAGATATTCGGAGATTTCCCTTTCTTTCTATGTCTTATAATCTAGTATTTTTTGCTTATAATGGGCGCTCGCAGATTCGAAATTTCCGTTATTATAAAGTAATATATAACCAAAATATATTAAAAACGCATATTTATTTTCATTTTATATCATATTTTAATCGACAGCCCGAACGACCCTGACAAATGTTTTCGCAAGGCGATCCAAAAAAGAATATTCTCTCTAAAAAGAACAAGTTTAGAGTGGGTGTGGCAAATTTTTCTTTTGGATCAATCGATAGGTATTGACGAGACCAATACATTTCAGTTAAAATTTTATCTAGCATAAAAATTGTAGGCGCCACATGCTTGGGCGGCTTGTGGGCGTTAGAGTGGGCGTGGCATATTCGCGTAACAAACTTGCGCTGCGTGCAAGGCTACGGAATCTAAATCTGAGAGCCCAATTCTCTATCTTTGATAGTTTCCGAGATATCCACGTTCATATTTACGATTTTTTGAGGTTTGTGGGCGTGGCAAACTTTTTTTTTAGTAAATGGATAGGTATTGACGAGAACAATACATTTCAGTTAAAATTTTTATTCTAGCATCAAAACTGTAGGAGCCACAGTTTTGGGCGGCTTGTGGGCGATAGAGTGGGCCTGGCACTCTGCTGAAACAAACTTGCGCTGCGCAGGAATCTCAGGAATCTGCATGCCTAATCCCAGTATTGTAGCTCTTATAGTTTCCGAGATCTCAGCGTTCATACGGACAGACGGACATGGCTAGATCGAGTCGGCAAGTGATCCTGATCAAGAATATATATACTTTATGGGGTCGGAAACGCTTCCTTCTGCCTGTTACATACTTTCCGACGAATATAGTATACCCTTTTACTCTACGAGTAACGGGTATAAATACCGCCACAAGAATTATAAAAAGAAGTGTATATAAATAAAATATGAATTTTACCCTGAAAATTATATGAGCTGACACGAGGGAAAATGCGAACATCCTCATTCCGCGACAGCTGACACGTAACCGCTGATTCAAGGGTGAAAACTGATTTTTGGAACTGAACGTCTTAGTCCGCTCCTTTTTACATTATTCATTAATGATCTTCCTCTAGCCCTAAAAAAGTCACGTGTACTTATGTACGCAAAAAACGGCAAGTTGTTCCAGCAATTAATGAGTCCGCACAGAGCTCAGTTTTACAATCTGATCGTGACGCATTTCAAAAAAGCATTTCAAACTTGGTGCAAAATGGCTCTAAGTGCAAAGTGATTTTCGTGCGAGCCCACACTACATCACTTATTTTCTAAGTGGTTGTGTGTTAGAAACAGAACGAATATTGACGAACTTGTTGTATCTTTTACTTAAATTTTCTGACCACACTACTACCATTGTGAATAAAGCCAGCGGACCAATTCTTAACCATTGCGTTCCTGTCTGGAGATGCCAATACGGGGTACTTAACTGCTAATAACACCATCCCACCTTAGCAGACTACTTTTAATGGACCTACGTTCATTAGCCAACTGTAGAACTATGCTAGGTACCACGTTCATCCGGAATCTTATACACGGAGAAGTGGAAAGTCCCGATCTACTGGGCCGCCTTCACTTTAATGTGCCGAATAGATTCGCTAAAAACTCGACTATAGCGCTCACTCTTGTTATTCACCTATAACAGCCTTGTATTGTCATTGTTAAGGCTAGAATCGGACACATACAAATCTTGCATAGTTTTTGGGCATTCTAGTAAGCAACAAAGGGTTGAACTTAAAAAGGTTGCACTTTTTTTCGCTCAATATCTTCTAGGCCGTAATTTTTAATGCAAAAAGTGTTACATTTCAAAAGTTGATTAACTTTAAGAGCTATAAGATTTGAAATTTAAAAAAAACATTGTATGAACCAGTTTTGAGAAAACAACCAAAAAGTGGTTATAAAAAATGTTTGCTATTACTCTAAATTTGTTATATTCAAACAATTTCGTTATGGATAGAGTGTTTAAAATTACCTTTTTAGAGACATATAAAACGACTCTGTACCATTAATTAAGACCATAAAGAAACTATGGGCCTTTCATGTCTGCCTTTTTTCTTAACACACCCATAACACAACTTATAAGGTTCGCAAGACCTTAAATCAAAAAGAGATTCATACAAACCCACAAACATTTTCATTTTGGGAAGACGAAGAAAATCTTGTTTTTGAAATAACTATTGAACGGCACATCAGATTTCAACAAACAAAGTGTCATTCGACGCGTACTCTCAGTAAGAATAAAACTAGGTTAAATTTCATAAATTTACACTTTTACACGTTCTCCGCTTTTTCTTCTAAACGAATTGAAATTTCGAAAGTCTTGCAGTCTTGTTAGTTTTTGCGATACCTTTCAATTGGTGTGTCACTCGTTACGATCAGACCATCATAGAATATTTTCAATTATGCGGCTATATATACATAGTAGTTGTCTTCGCACACTCTCTCCCCACTACGTGTACTGCCATCCACAGTGAAGAATAAAACTGTCAAAAGCGTAGTAAAATTTCAGGTCAATGCTGGACCTTGGGCTACGAATGGTTTAACCTAGTGCTATTATACTCAGAGAAAAAACCGTACTAAACGTTCTCGATTTCAGTATATTTGATCACAAAAGAGAGCCAAGATCGATTCATACTCAATTTCTTAAAACCTAGGTCGAAGTCTTCTCTGTTTGCATATGGCTTCTGAGAATGTCTCCTCTTGATATGGATACAAAGACTTCCCGGTTTCAACACCGAATCGGTTTCGATTTCGAGATGAACCGTTCTCGGATTCAAGCAAAAACCGTTTTTGCTCTCAGATTCCATTCTCAAATAAAAATGCTAAGTTTCTTAAAATTATATATATTTTACTCTTACGGCTTTCATTTCATTATTAAGTTGGCATCTATCGAGGGGTGGTGTTACAAATTCGGATAACTTATAAATGTAGTTTCTTTAGAAAAATCCCAATCGGTGCAATAGCTTCTATTATTTCGTCATCCTAAGGCACTCGTAAGAAACTCCGGTACCTAAAACAATATATATTATTATTGTTATTCATATGTACAGATACATACCTCTTACAATTGAAATGCGCTTAAGATGAATTGTGATCATACGTACATACTACATATTTCATAAGTGTACATTTGTGGTTATGCATGTGTCATTGTGTGTGCAATTTCAAGTCTGTGTTAATTATTTGACACATAAGTTTTATATTTGTTAAGTACGTTACAACAACGCTTTACCGATTTGGGTTTCTTAAGAAAAACGTGCTCGAATAAAAAACATAGAATAAAAAATTGACAAATTCCGATTTTACTTACGTTGTAGGTAAAAAGAGTCTTTATTAAGTTGAACTCGCGAAGCAGGTCCTCCAAATGTTTCTTCATTTTCTATTTCACTCATCAACTTAACCGCATACTTTGCACAAAAACGAAGAAGTGAATTTGCAGCGACACAGATTCGCAACTCACTTCGATAACTTCCCGATAATTTCAAGAGAGGAGTTTCGTCTCTCCCTCCTCACTTTCATTTCTTCTACGTCTTCCCCTCACGTTCCTCTTCGACAACCTTAAAACCGAGATTGCTCTTGATTCGGAATACTAAAATCGACATCGCTTTCGTCTCGATATCGAGAAAAAAAAGTAAGAAGACAATATTCTCAAACTAAGAAGTACCGATCTCCGTTGTTTCGTTCTTAATTAAAAATTGTCTACAAAACGAATGAGTGATACTTTGGCCGATAATTTGTATATATTCGATTTTTTCTTGCAGAAAAAACATTTAAGCATACTTTAGTAATTATAGCAGTTCTGTGTAGTACCCACTTTAGTTGTTTACCGCATTCCTTGCAACGCAAGCACGTTTTGTGAAATATAGTCGTTCCAGTTTTTAATTGAAGAATGACTTCCTCCATTTTGTATACCGGTTTTTTGCATTGACGGCAGTTGTCAAGCTGTTCAGCAATTGTAGACTGTTAAAATGAATAATACATAATTGAATTAGATTAATTGTCAATATAATACAAATATGGTGATATTTGGTTATTTAGTAAATGTAATGAGTTAATTTCGTAGTACTTGGCTTACTCGAAAAATTTCTTGTGCTTTTTTAGAATCTCTTGAACGTACATGGATTACATTTCGTTTTTGAAGGTCATCAAATTTGGTAAAACTTTTTTTCTATAAATAAAAAAGAGGTTAATTTAGCCATAAAATAATATAAGAGTACACATATAGAAATCAGTATTGAATTGTATGTTGTTGAGCTATTATTTGGATTAATTTTTCTTGTTTTGTTTTTTCTACATTTGAATTGTGACACCGCAATTAAATCGGTAACAAAACTATTTTTATACCACTTACTCGTAAAGTAACTTGCGCAGTGAACGTTTTTTTTTTCGGAGTGCAACGCCTACTTTAGCGCACGCAACGCTAGAAACGGTCTAGCACTCAAATTTGTTTTTTAATTTTGTATAAGTGTAAATTATAATCTTATTATCTACAGACATCTACCTGCCAAAAATTCAAATCGGACCATTAATTAAAAAGTTATAAGCAAATAAAGGAATAGACGCTGTACCGGTACCCCGAAAATTGTATAAATGGGACCATTAGTTATTAAGTAATGACCTTACACCCGTATTTAGCAAGAACATGGTAAATACATTAGATTAAAATGTAAGCAGCAGCGTTTTTTCGCCTCAAATAGGTATATTTATTTATATATCGTCTGTCCGCGTTAACGCTGTAATTTCGGAACCTGTATGAGTTTGAGAATTGGGATTTAAGATTAGGTCTTCTTAGCTTCTCATTTAGCGAAAGTGCTGATAATACATACCAATCTTCACTGACATTTTTAGCTCTTGTCAATACCTACCAGTTCCTTAGCTTCTCGTTTATCGCATTTTTGTTATCCGAATGTACCCAAACCCACTTTAGTGCCCACAAACCGACCAAAACAGTCCCTAAGAACGCTGATATCTTGTACATTGTACATATAAACATAAATGCTGTTATACAAGGGTGTTTTATATTGAAACTTCATATCGAATTCATAAATTCAAAGTACATAAATAAATTCTTTCTTAAATATCTGGCATCAAAAGTTGCATCTTTTTGAGCAATCAATTTAAAATATTAGATACCCATTACTCAGCTAAAAGAAGTGTGAAAGGGATCGAGATATGCTTGCAGCAAATCGGCTGTTTTTCACTAACACGCCACCTAGCTTATAGCGCCACCTAGTCTATACCGCCACCTAGCGTAGCAATATTGATTGAATTATATAATTATTGATTATTATCTGGTGAAACCCCTTTAATGATTGGCCCGATTTGAACAATTTAATGGGATGGGTACTAAGAACCAGAACCAAATCGTATTTAAATTAAAAAAAAAAAAGGTTGTGGACGATAGAGTGGGCGTGGCACCCTTCTTAAACAAACTTGCGCTGCGCCGGAAGCCCGAACATTTGCAAGCTTATCCTCATCCTGATCAAGAATATATTTTATGGTGTATTCTACGTTTTACATACTTTCCGAAGAATCTAGGAAACCCTTTTACTCTACGAGTATCGTATAAAAAGCGGGTTTCCTTGTTATTCCAAACAAGTAGTTAATAAAATTAATGTTATTTTTTAAATTATATCTGTTTCAAATAGCTAAGAAACATAATATGTTTACATTTTTATTAGAAAGGAAGAATGATTGATAAAAAAGAATGACGATAACCGACTTAAAGCCTCACGACAGTTCAAATACAATGTGGCAGGAATAGAAGAATTATTCATACACAACGTTTGAACAGGTCCTTAGGTTTTACTGTTGCCTTACCATGTTTATATTCTGGGTATCATATTCATACGTTTTTGATCTTTTTGATTTGCTTTTTTTCGAGGGCAAACCATTTCCAGAAAGTCCCTTTGAAATATTAGAGTTTAAAGTGACCATGTCTTTTTTGTCGTCCCTTTGGTCCATTTTGTTGTTCCGTCTTGAATACTTATTTGTAAACTTCGCTGAAATATAAGATTTTTGTTCAGCTTTAAACTCTTACGAGAAATGCATTTTAGAGTAACTTAACTTATTTATCCTAAGAATATAACTGTTTTAAAAGCGATTAAAGGGCAGCATATATATACTAAAGTAGTATTAGTATTTGTAATCGTTTTGTCATTTCAACAAAATGAAAAAAATACTTTTCCAAATATATATATGTATAAATAGCTCAAAATTTGAATTTTGCAAAGATAATTGCCTACAAATGAAGTAGTTAGTAGTCAAAAACTGTTTGGCCACTGCGACATTGTAAAAAAAATTTAAAAAATATTTACTTTCCGAAATACATATTTATGTATACGCATATTCGCATATAAATAGGTAAAATGTTGATTTTTTTTTGAGGTATTTGCCGATATTTTGCTGTTATATATTTTGTATTGCCGAAAATCTGTTTTATTGCGTGCCACAAGTACGGCCCGTAACAAAAGTCGCAGCCATAAGTACAGAACAAATTGGGCAGCGGAAAAGTAAATACGTCAAGAGTTATTTTCGTATTTATTTTATTAAGCATGGCTCCGGGTTTGTATACATGATTTGTGGTTACAAGGATTATTTACTTAGGTCTAGAACAGATACAAATGGACAACATGGTAGAATATCAGTTTACAGAAAAAAATCCAAAATAAGCAATTACATCTACAGGTGGTCGGGTTAAAGTTTCCCAAGGGCTATTACAGACGGTGTGAAGACACGTCCGTCGGCTGGTTGCATATGGTTTATCACATGCAGATGTGTGCAGACCAGGAAATCAGCTACATATTTATTTAGGTCATAGTATCTATAAGCAGCGAACAAATTTCGGCTAGGTCAAAATCGTACACTATTTTAATTAAATTTGAATTCATAGGTAAAACCAGCAACATTATTAATACTTCGATTTGTCGAAGTTCCGTTTTCGATTTGCTATGGCTTTAAAAAATATGCTGTAAAAAAATGTTTTTTGTAGACCAAATTTTGCAGTTTTATACTATACTTATAAAATGAAATTAACACACAATTAAAAATACACAATACATGTAATACTCAATTTAAAAATAAATGTTGGGAATGTTGCGAATAAGAAGAATGCGAGAGTATTTACATTCTGGTATGGCTGATTATATTTATGATACACTTTACCTGAAATGCTTATATAATTAGGAAGCTTTTCTTTGAATTCGTGCATACGCATGCATTTTTAATTGTTCATATGGATACACACTTGACAGAAACAAAATCATCAGTATAATAATGTGTCTATTGTTACAAAAAGGAAATATAAATGTAAATGATCCAGGTAATACAATTCAAATATTTTAGGTTTTTTTATTAAAAAAAATGGGTAAGGAACATACCAGTACTAACTTTTAATCCGTTTTTTGTTTGCAATTGAAAAACGTTCTCGCACTATATGTATATATTCATCCAGTTTGGTTTATTAACATCATTGTATGCTTTTATTGTATTATGATAAAGTTTTGAGGTGGTAAAATGCAGTATTTTATAGTTTTTTTTCTAATCAGCACATCACATATTTAATATATGTAAATGTACTAAGGATCGACGTTCAGAAGTTAAAGAGCGAACAATATAGACTGCTTCTATGTACACTCAATGAGTTTTTTAGTGTTGCCCGATTTTGTGCATGTAGATATAACATTCAAAGTTGAGTTAATTTTAAAAGACTAAGAGCTTTTTTCGAAAAGTATTCGAAAGCTTTTTGGGAAATGAAACTCTTAAATGTCTAGAATCAAAACGTCAAATGGGAGGACTCTAAAATTAGTTAAGATTGTAAAACACAGAATAACGCTATAGTTGGGTGGCAGATATCCGTTACTCAAATATCGGAGCGCCAGGGAGAGGAAGATTTGCAAATGGTAAAGCTTTTTTTTTACAGGGAGCCACCTAGTGGCAATTACATAATTTGGTAATAACTTCCTAATGAATTTTCCTATTTTAAAAATTTAAAGATATGGATATAGGTATTAATAACAAAGCAGAATCCCATTTCACCTTTACAAACAAACAGATTTTAGTGTTAGAAGATAGGTATTAACAAAACCAATACATTTCAATTACAGTTTGTATTCTTTCATTAAAACTGTTGCCACCATAGTATTGTGCGGCGCTACGCAAGAATCTCTAGAATCCTTTCTTTGTAGCTTAATTCTAACTCTGTAGCTTTTGTAGTATCCGAGATATATGCGTTTATACGGAGGATTTCCGTGGCAACATTTGTAGGTCAAAGGATAGGTTTTTAAGAGAGCAATGATTGTCGGGTAACATTTTTAACATTTAAGACATAGAAGCCACAGTTTAAGGGGGTTTTGTGGGCGTTAGAGTGGGTGTACCACATTTGCGTACGTGGTCATCGAACGTGTTCCGCAAAGAAAGTCGGTTTTAGCCAAAAGAATTTGGGTACGTTGTACTTATATCAGTATCTTTTTCGCAGAACCACTAGTAATACAATATCCGACAAGCCCTCCATTGGAGAATCGTTGGCTTCACTACCACCAGCTACTTGGCAGCTAAATCGCGCTGGCTCCTATAGGGAGGAGGAAAAAGGACGCACGCAAAGGGACACCTGGAGAAACCATTACCAGCCATTGCCAGGATACTGGGCGACTTCCTGCAGCATCAGCGGACCAACACCGTTCCCAATCCGGCTCCCACTCTCTCCAGGCCCATGTTGGCGTATTGGAAATCGGAAACCGGACCTTCAGTTCCTCAAGGTCCAATATGCTTATTGGGATTTGGAGCTGGACTGCAGATTGCTCGGAAAAGATGACGAAGCCTCCGCGGGACGCTGATGCTGCAGGAAGTCGCTTAGCATCCTGGCAGTGGCTGGCTATGGCTTCTCCAATTGTTCCTTAGCGGGCGCTCTATTTTCCTCCTTCCTATAGAAGCCAGAGGGTCCTCCAGCTCCGCTTAAGCTGCCAAGTAGCTGGTGGTGGTGGTGCTCGGAGTCCGAATGGAGAGGTCGTCGAAGATCGTATTACTGGTGGTTCTGCTAAAAAGATACTTCTGTTAGTACAACGCAACCAAATTCTTTTAGCCAGATCTTACTTTCTTTGCGAGGACGCGCCCGGCAGGATGTCCATGTAGAGATTGAAGTCCCACTTGGCTTGTTCCTTCCCACTGGGATTCTCTAGTGGATCTCCTACAGCACTTCAACTATTCTGCGAATTTGACCCTTTTGTGGAATGGTTTCCTGTCGGTGAAGTCTCACAATAAAGGACATAAGCTTGGATTTGGCGTTTTTTTTTGAGGTTTTCCTTCCGTTTTTAATTTTTAGTTTCAACATCGCCTTTGCGCGAACACCGCCAAAGATTAAATTTCTTATTCTTTGGGCCGAGGCTCATGGCGTTCATCGAAATTCACTCGCTAAATCTGGTATTTTTTCTGGTATTTTCTTAGCTCATCTGAGTACCGCGCTGAAAAACAGACCCCGACGAAAAGCGTTAGCCGCGTATTTGCCTCTCGCTCACTCCTATGGTTAGCTCGCGGTTTTCGTCGATCTGAGTACTAGGCTTAAGTATTCAAAGTTCACTCGCAATGCGTGTAGCTTGGTCTTACTGTCAAGCAGCTGAGTTTGTTTTATTGACAACAAATTTAAGGATCTGCTGGTACACAAAGAAATACAAATAAATGAAGAATGAGAATAAATAAATAAATAAACAAATAAATGGATTGTACAACGTATTTTTTTTATGTAAACTAGTAGTTTAAAGCTTCCTTCTCGTCTCACGGATGCTTCGTCAACATTCCTGAGCCATCTGTAGTCCAGCTCCAAGTCCCAACAAGCATATTGGACCTTGAGGAACTGAAGGTCGGATTGGAAACGGGGATGTTCCGCCTGATGCTGCAGGAAGTCGCCTAGCATTTTGGAAATGGCTCATCCACCTGTCCCTTAACGGAAATCCTTTTTTTCCCTTCCTACAGAAGCCAGCGCGTCCCCATCTCCGCTTTAACTGCCAAATAGCTGGTGGAGGTTGAGTCCTGTGCATCCCCAGTGGAGAGTTCGTCGGGGATCGTTATGGTGGTTCCGTAAAAAGATACTTCTATTAGTACAACGTAACCATATTCTTTTGGCCAGAACTTACTTTCCTTGCGAGGACACGCCCAGCAAGATGTCCACGTAGGGAGCGAAGTCCCAATCGCCATGTTCCTTCCCATCGAAATTCTCTAGCGGATCTCCTCCAGCACTTCAACTATTCTGCGGATTTCCCCTGTTGTGGTATTGCTTCCTGTCGGTGAAGTCCAACAATAATATGCAACAGCTTGGAATAGGCGTCCTTTTTCATCTGCACTGACCTCCTGCAGTCATTTTTTTTGGGTTTCCTTCCATTTTTAATTTTTAGTTTTCACACCGTTTTAGCACGAACACCGCTAAAGATTTATCGAAATCCACTCGTTAATTGAGGTATTTTTTCTGGTATTTCCTGAACTCATCTGAGTACCGCGCTGAAAAGCAGATCCGACGAAAAGCGATCGGCGCGTATTTGATTCTTTGTCGATGTGAATACTAGGCTCTACGGAAGTATTCAAAGCATGTAGCATGGTAACAGAAAACAAACCAATTGAAGCTATTTAAAAATACGACTATGCTGGTAGGAATAGTAGTAGGAATGTTCATCGAATGTAGATCAGTAGCTTAAACTTTTTTCTCGTCCCATGGAAGCTTTATCATCTTTTTCTCTAGCTTGGCATTTTCAGATCTGATTCCCAATATGAGAATATGGGCCTTGAGGGAGAGCAATCCTGATTTGGAACAATGTTGTTTTGCTGGTAATGCAGGAAGTTTCCCAGCATCCTGGCAATTGCTGGTCACGGCTCCTTCAGCCGGCCCTCGGCGGGTAGTCATTATTCCACCGAACTCCTGCAGACGTCTTTGTCGTGGTTTTTAGGGTTTTCCCTCCATTTTTAAATTTTCATTTCCACAACGCAACAGAAAGATAAAATTTCATCG